GCTGTACAGTTAATGGCTGAGTCTATAGGTGACAAAGTAAATGTCCTTCGAGCGTCACCGTCCCAAGCCAAGTTTTTTTTCCCTTTTGTTTCACTCTTACCTAACCAGAGTTAAATTATCTACACGTATTTACAGTATGTACCAGTTCTTGCTTCAAGAAGGAGCTCAACATTTTATGAATGGTCCCTTAGCCTTTGATCACAGATCAAAACATGTGGGGGGGGGGGTGGGGAGAGTAAAACAAGAGCTTGCTACGGGCAAGCACTGCAAAGCGACACTGAACCACAGTCCCAATTTTCTATGAGTTACAATCCAGGAGAGGTAATACTGAAATACAGTATAAATGAGCTGCACAAAAATACAGTAATACAAGAACTGACAGCAAGTTGGCAACCTGCCTGCTAATTGTCAAAAGGGTGGAATGGAGCATGAATAGAAACAGAGAATGAGCTCCGAAGGAGCCAGGGAAGAAGGGATGGAGGGAAGGACTGAGAAAGCCACACGGAAATGAGTGTCCTGAAGGCAGATGGGTGAGAAAGTCAAGCTGCGGGTAGGAAAACATGAGAAGGGAAAGCGGCTCACCTTTGGTCACATAATCACTCAGTGTGAGCTGGGCATAGTAAGGCTGACGGAGAAATAGGAATACTAAAAATATTTTTAAGTGTTCAACAATCGAGAAATTTGAGAAAGTGACAGTGAAAATTTTGTGAATTAGGTAAGTGGAAGGTTTGCCCACCATTTTTTTCCTCTAGGGTTCAGTCCAAAATAGGTCACTGCCATGATGAAAATGTTCTTCGTGTGCACTGTCTACCCGCTGCAAATAACTTTTGAGCACTTAAAATGTGGCTAATGTGGCTGAGTAACTGAATTTTTAATTATTTTAATTAGAGTTAACCTTAATTACTTTAAACTTAATTGAAATAACCACAATACTCAATGGTTGACTGAAACCGTTCTAAGTGGTACCTAAGTGTGAGTTCTGTCCTGAGAGCTACACATTTAAAAGATGTCTTCAAATTGATTCAAAGGTCTACTGGAGGGGAAACAAAAATTAAGAGTTAAATATTATTCTCAAACTCAAACAAAGATGCAAAATCGAGTAAGCAGAGACTACCGTTTTTTGAGTGCTTACCAAAGGCCAGGGCAGGCACTTGTAGGTGGGAAATGAAGCCTCTGGACCAGACTCATACAGAGCAATATGGAAGTTTCTAACTGATCACCAATAAATATTAGTGATAAAATCTACTAAAATTGGCACATAAGGCAAAACATTTTTACTTAATTAAATATAAGGTATGAAAACTAATACTGATAACCAGTAAGTTCCATTGCAATTACATCATATTTTAACAAAATTTAAATAACAATGACAAGAATTTACTATTTTCTTCTTGGATTTCAAATTTCTTCTTCTTTTTCTTAGATAAGTCCCTTTAATATTTCATATCATAAGAGCTTGCTGATAATGAACTCCTTTAACTTAACCTTATCTGGGAAGCACTTCATCTGCCCTTCCATTCTAAATGATAGCTTTGATGGCTAAACTAATCTTAGATATAGGTCCTTGCCTCTCATGACTTTGAGTACATCTTTCCAGCCCCTTCTTACCTGTAAGGTTTCTTTTGAGAAATCAGTTGATAGTCTTATGGGAACTCCTCTTGGGTAACTGTCTCCTTTTCTCTTGTTTTTAAGATTCTCTCCTTATCTTTGATCTTGGGTAATATAATCACGATGTGCCTTGGTGTATTCCTCCTTGGGTCCAAATTCTTTGGGACTCTCTGAGCTTCCTGGACTTCCTGGAAGTCTATTTCTTTTGCCAGCTTGGGACAATTCTCCTTCATTATGTTGTTAAATAAGTTTTCAATTTCTTGCTCTTCCTTTTCTCCTCCTGGCATCCTTATGATTCAGATGTTGGAAAGTTTAAAGTTGTCCTGGAGGTTCCTAAATCTCTCCTCATTTTTCTGAATTCTTGTTTCTTGATTCTGTTCTGGTCACATGCTTATTTCGTCCTCTGGTCCAAGCCATCAATTTGAGTCCCAGTTTTCTTCCTGTCACTGTTGGTTCCCTATACATTTTCCTTTATTTCACTTTTCATAGCCTTCACTTCTTCCTCTATTTTGCAGCCATACTCAATAATTTCTGTGAGCATCCCGATTACCAGTATTTTGAACTATGCTTATGATAGGTTAGCTATCTTTTCATCACTTATTTGTATTTTTCTCTGGAGCTTTGATTTTTTTTTTCATTTGGGCCATATTTTTTTGTCTCTGTGCACCTGTTACATAGTAAGGGGCAGAGCCTTAGTTATTTGCCAGGGTGGGGCAATCCACATCACTACGTTGTGGCACTGTGTGGGGGGGAGGGGTCCGAGAGGGAACAATGCTGCCTGCTCAGTTCTCTACCAGCTTTCAGTCACTTCCTCTGCTATCCGCAAGCAAATTAGGATCTTCTGGTGCTGATTCCCAGGTGTGTGGGCTTGAGTACATTCTAGGACCCTGTGGGTCTCTCCAACAAACTGTCCTGTGAGGTTGGGAGTTCTTCCTGCTGCTGCAACCCCCACAGGTTTTTTCAGTAAGAGGTTTGACGCTTTATTTCTACTCGCTGGAACCCTGGGTTGCTCTGTCTGTCTCGCTCCCCAGTTGTTCCTCCCAACTGGGAGGAACATTATCTGCATGCAATGTAAGACTGCCAGCCCCACCAGCCATCACCTTGCCACGAGTCCTCTCACCCTGGCTTCCCATCTCCACCCCTCCTACAGGTCTGGATGGATGTTTCTTCTTTAACTCCTTGGTTGTCAGCCTTCCATACAGTTCGACTGTCTGGCAGTTCTGGTTGTTTTTTGTTTCTAAATTTGTTGTTGTCCTTCTTTTGGTTGTGCAAGGAGGCACAGTGTGTCTACCTACACCTCCATCTTGGCCAGAAGTCTTAATAATCATTCTTTCAAACCTCAGTATTTCATCTGTTTTAATTACATGTAATCCATGTTCAAATATGATTTATATAATTTGAAACAAGACAACTGTCATTACTGAGTGATGGAAATGTTCTAAAATTGATTGTGGTCGTGGTTACACAAGTCTGAACATACCAAAAATATTTAATTGAACACTTTAAATGGGAAAATTGTATGATATATTAATTATATCTAAATAGAACTATATTTACAGTAAACTCATGCCAATGAAGAAAAGTATAGTAATTTATAAGTACATTTCTTATTTTCCTTGAATATGTGCTATTTCACATGTTTGGGTGGTAATGAAACTTTGCTTTCTTAGCATTTCCCAATATTTCTATTCCTGGTTTTGTTTTATGCAATCTTTAATCCTTTCTTTAAGGTAAAAAGGTAACTTCTTTGAATATCAGCCCAATATTTTCAGGATACCAACAAGTAATCTTTTGCAGACGGAAATTGCCCAGTAAGGAGTTAATTATATATATTTCCACTAGATGGCACTCGTGTGCAAATAGTATTGCTAGAATCTTTACACTCCCTCACTTCAATAAAGTTGTTACATTACCACATTGTTTTCATTTTCGTTGATGGGTCTGGATAAGATAAAGACAAGTGGAAAGTCAAGATAAAATCTTTCCTTGACTTCCTAAGCTCCAGGGTAAACAAAGCCCTCCTTCTATAAGTATGGAATGAAATGCAAGGAGAAACTCACAATCTTGTGCTAAATTCAGGGTGAGAACTCAGAATCCTTGACTTTTAGTTGCCATCACAAATCATACAATATATACAGTTGGGGAGTGAACACTTTGGTCAAAGAGAGTGAGAAAATGAATCTCCATTGTGACATTGTACATATAGTATTTCATTTGACCTCTAAGCTATTAGTTCCATATATATTACCTCACGTAGCCCTAACTATACAGGCCTAACCTCTTAACTGCATGAGGGAAACAGAGTGACCATTTTGTTTCATACTATATCACTTCAGGATAGTGTAGTGCCCAACACACAGTAGGCATTCAAAAACATTAGTTTTAGATGAGTGAATGAATGAACGAATGAAGCTTGACAACTACCCCATTTAATAGGTAATATTATTTCTACTTTAGAGTTGAGGAAATGAAGTTGGAAATAGGAAGCTGTCCAAGCTCACAGAATTCAGTGGCAAAACTGTTGAACACTGACATTACTTTTCATTATATATTTACATGTAAGATTTCAACAATAGAAGAAAAGCTCTTTCAGGGCAGGAATCACATTGTCCTTCCTGTTCCACATTGTGGAGGGAAGGATTTGTCTAGCTTCTTGCTCAGAGCCTGGCACACGGTTGATGCACAATAAATAGTATTTCTCTGTTTGAGATCATAGCAATCCAAGTTTTAGCAGCTAGAACTTGAACATTCAAGGAGCTTGGGTCCTGGACCACTTTCTGTTTTACTCCTTTTACTTCATTCCAACACCAATGTTATATCCAGGCTTTATTTCTGGATTTTTGCCAGTTTTCTGATGACCTCTCCTCAAAGCCCAATAACAAAAAGCCTTTGAAGTCAGTAAGCACTTCCTAATTTACTTGCACCTTAAGGGTTTCTCCCAGTTTCACAGCTAAGTAATCTACCCTTTCTGCCCTTAGACCCCCAGGGGTCCTTGTGGAGTTGAGCAGATCAGAAGGGGTTGGCTCCAGTTTTAGCTCTGTTACCATTGGCTATTCCACATGCCTCAATTTCCTCAACAAATGAAGCTGGAATTCCACCTTAATTCTGTCTTAGGGTGGTCCTCTGTTGAGCCTATGACCAAGATGGCAAGTTTTGGATAAAAATCTTTGGCCTCTGAGAGTGGCGTAAAGCCAGAGCTGGAAAAGCCTGTGCACAGAAGAGGCTGTTCTGACCACAGAGTATGAGGACTGCACACCTAATATTTTGGGTCTCATCTCCAGGGGAATGAAGGCCCGGCTTGGGTTAGGCTCCCCCGTGCCGCCAGGGGGCGCTGCAGGCTGCAACCCAGAAGCCGGAGCCCGTCGTGCCGGACAGCGCCTGACTCTTCCGACTTCCGGAAGCGGAGCATCGGACCTGCAACGGCTGTAGGTGTACAACAGCGGCGGAAGCGAGGAGGGCTGAAGGGGACCGGGGCCTGGCTCCGCGTCTGGGTGCAGCACCATGGATGAAGCAGGCAGCTGTACGAGCGGCGGAGGCTTCCGCCCGGGTGTGGACAGCCTGGACGAGCCGCCCAACAGCCGCATCTTCCTAGTGATCAGCAAGTACACGCCCGAGTCGGTACTGAGGGAACGCTTCTCACCGTTTGGCGAGATCCAGGATATCTGGGTGGTGCGGGATAAGCACACTAAGGAATCCAAGGGCATCGCTTTCGTCAAGTTCGCGCGTAGCTCGCAGGCCTGTAGGGCTATGGAGGAGATGCACGGCCGGTGCCTCGGCCCCAACGACACCAAACCTATCAAGGTGCGGGTGCCTGGGTCGGGTACCCGCGGGAACAGTGTCTGGGGGTGGGGATGGGTGTCTCGGGCCTCCCTCACTCCACAGCTCTGCCAGGGTCAGGCAGTGGTAGTGTGTCTGGTGCTGGGACCAGACTAGGCAGCCCCTGGCAGTCTGGGGGCGAGAGGAGGGGAGGGTGGCCTGGGAACGCGTTTTCAGAACCCGCCTGTGAGCCTGCACCTCTGGTGCAAGGTTTGGAGGGGTGTGGAAGGAATATCCGCCCCACCCCCGGGTCAGCCTGGCGGCAGTTGCGGGAACTCGGATGGAGAGCTGCTGTGGCCAGGCCAGCCTCACCCCCACTTCCACTATTCTGGACCTTTGCGTTCCTTGCCCAGCTCTGGCCTTGGCCTGCTGGAGCACTTCTTTGACCCGCCTCTCGAAATAAACCCCTCCCTGCTGCCCCGGTCTACTATCAGAAAAAGAGACCATGCTTTCCACAGTGAGGTATGGGGTTTAACAACTTGATAAAAATACATTAAGCTGTGGCCCTCTTGCGTTGGGCATTTTCCCACTACCTGACAAGTGTATATGATACTTAAGTTCAGGTGTTTAAATTGCTACTGTTACATATTCACTACGTCTTTACAATTTTGAAAACTATTTTAAATACTCCCTATTTATAAAGGTATTAATAGCATTTGTTTTGTTAACTGCTACTTTTCTTCGAAAGCAGACCAAAGTAAACTTCTTTGAGAAGAACCAAGTAATTGTGATGGTAGTGTAGTTGTATTTAAATGCTTGTTTTGTATACTTAGTTCACCCTGGTGGTATTTATATTGTCTCTACTCTTATGGTGTACAATTAAGATAATTGACACGTGGCAGAAAGGGTAATTTTGAGGGTTATATGACTTACTCTATGCGCTTACCACAGTGCCTGGTACAAGGTAAGCCCTCAATATCCTGAGATGTCATTCATTCCTTACTTGCTGTGAACTCAACTCAGCCTAATCCTGAGAATCTAGGAGTTGCTTAAACTCTATCCTTCACCTTTGTTGTGGAGATAGTTGCTATATATGTAATTTTGTTGTAGCTTTCCACAAAATTCTCTTTTCCCTCAAATTTTTTTCAGTTTTTCCCATTCACTACAGAAAACTAAGAAGAATATTATAAATAAAGGCTTATATAAATGAAAGACTCAGAGATATTTCAGTCTCTGCAGGTCTTTCCTGTACATCCACATGCAAAGGAGGAGCCCAGAACTGTACCAACAGCACAGTAGACATTTTTTCTCCTCCCACCTCTCCAACCCTTTGAAATGTTGATAACAGCTCATCAGCAAAACTCATTGTAAGGCCACAGCATATACTATATTGGAGGTTTGCCCACTTGTTTTCTACAGGGCCAGACGGTAAATAATTTAGGCATTGTGAGCTACATACAGTTTCTGTGATATACTCTTTGTTTTAACGGCCCTTTAAAAATGTAAAAATTCTGAGGTCATTGGCTGTAGAAAAACAGAAAGCTACAGGTTGCTGACTCCTGCACTAGATGGATAATTTTCATCTCCTTACAATTATAATTTTAACAGAAAGGGTTTTTATACTTCTGAGAGTCACATAATCACAGGTTGGAACCAAAAACGTGCTCCACTTTTGAAACCGGTAGCCTCACCCCCACCCCGTTCCTTGATTATATTTATGCAAGAAAAGTAAACTTCCCAACGTGGAAATATGTCTTCCCTTTTAGCCACAGAGAATCTAAATTATTTCCAAAGACAATTAAAGTTTAAAATCTGTTTTTCGCATTTTTTGCCCCCTGATTTTTAGCCAGAGGGTTGTTTTACCACAGAATCCAGCTAGACAGTGAAAGTTCATTCTTCAGCACTTGCGGCTTGAGCTGTCCTCCATTGCGATGTAGTTTGGTGTTTTGTTTCTCAGCAGTCCCAGTTAAATTAATTCAGCATTAATTTTTCTCATGTACTTTGCTTTTGCAAAGTTCAAAAAAATCTATCTACAAAACAAATTAGAAAATTACAGAGCGCAGGCCTGCGAACCAGACAATCGTGGTTCGATCCCAGTCAGGGCACATACTGGGGTTGCAGGCCGGTTCCCTGCAGGCCAGTTCCCAGCAGGGGATGCATGAAAGGCAACCATACATTGATGTTTCTCTCCCTCTCTCCTTCCCTTCCCCTCTAAAGATAAATAAATAAAATCTTTAAAAAAAAAAAGAAAATTACAGCACCAGACCTACAGCCAGAAGAGATTGTCCAAGTAAAAGTCATTTTGTGACCAGCTACATTATCTAGAGGAAAGATTTTTCATTACCATTCTCTAGGAATCTTTTGCCAAAAGATTCCAAGAGAATGGAAATGAAAAATCTTGGGTTTTAGCTTTGTAAGAATGTCTCTTAGTTAGAGCCCATAGTCTGTGAACATAAAATCTTAGGATAAATCATCCATTGGGTTATTAATTATATATGTAGTCTACTTAGATACTGTCTCCTTTGTCAGATATTTGAAACATTCTAGTCTGCTAAAATTTAGAAATTTGTGATCTGACAGCAGCTTCAATCTCAAATCTTACCTGGGATTTCTTCCCCCGCCCTGTCTTCCCATATAGTTAAAGGTTCCCTATTGACTGTTCATTAGTGATTCATCCACTAGATTAACTTTACAGTAGGCCATTTCTGCATTATTCAGTGTTACTAATATTTCATGTATTGCTTGACATATAGTGAGCATAAAGTGTAGATTTATTGAAACTGGAAATAGATTGTGCCTAGGGACGTAGCTCTAGCTGTGTTGTGTACGCAAGGTTCTGTACTTCTGTGACAGCCGTTTTTCCAAGCAGAGATAATAACCTTTTTCAGTATTCCTAATGTCATGGCTTTATCAGTTGAGTTCTTTTATTTGCTGCCTCTTAACCTTTATTTTCGCAAGACTAGGCTTTGTCATTCTTGAATGACATACAGCAAATAATGTCCACCCCCTCCCTTTAAAGTAGAGATCCTCAAAGAGATCCTTGTGTGCTCATTTATATTAATTTTATATAAGTTATAAAAAATAAAACTAACCATTAAAATTATGCATATAGCTCTATAAACAAATCCACAATCCTATTTAGAGATTTTAATATTCCTCTAGAATAATATAAAACCAAAACAACTTTACAAATTAAATAAAAGCAATGCACAATTAAATGTCATTAGTGTCGTAGATGATGATGTATCAATAAAACTAAATTGCCAATAGTAGAAAAAGAGCCTCAAGTTATTCTCTGCATTTTCTTGATAACCTATGTCATTTGCTTGGTCACTGAAATGATCCACAGTATGGTTATATTACCTCTTTTTAAAAAAGATTAATAATAGAAAATTAAAAAACAATATGACCATCTAGAATTAAATCCAACTGTGTCAAATACCACATTAAACGAATATACTAAACACTCCAAGTAAAAGGCAGAGATTATCAGGATTTGAAAAAGAATAAACTAAATGCTATTTACAAGAGACTATATAAAAATACAAAGTAGTTGAAATAAAAGAAACAGCCAGTGTGGTATCAGGCAAAATGGTATTCAATAGAAGAGGAATGTTAACAGTTATAAAAAATACTAGTCAAAAAGTATGTAATCCCTGTGTATTCAATAATAGCTTCAAAATGCATGAAGCATTATTGATAGAACTAAAAGAAGATAAATTCATGATCAGATTTTTATACATTCTTCGTAGTATCTGATAGAACAAATAGATGAAATTAGTTAATACATAATATTTTAATAACTATCAATCGACCATAAATTGACATTTATTGAATACTACCCAACAGCAGCAGGGTATACATTCTTTTTCAGTACACTCACTATTGCTTTTGGCAAACCACAGTCTGCAGGTAAAAATATATTTGGAAAAAAACAAAGTTCAGAGATTGGCATTAGCTCATATAAAAAGTCATTGCAATAAAGATTGCTTAAAAACATATTTTATGTGACCTTTTTACATTGCATTTAACCTAACATGAACCTCATACTAGTAATGAATTAAGTGTGTTTAGAAAATGGGAAAACAACTAATTTTTTCACATTATTTTATGGTTTTGTTTGTTTCTTAGGTTTTTATTGCTCAGTCCAGGTCATCTGGAAGTCACCGAGATGTTGAAGATGAAGAACTTACAAGAATCTTTGTTATGATACCAAAGTCCTACACAGAAGAAGATCTACGAGAAAAATTTAAGGTACTTAACGTTTTCTAATCAGCTAGCATCTGTGATAACTCATAACCCTAAACTGGTTGTACAGTTACCAAATCTGAAGTGTTGGTGAGTTAGATCATTAGATTGGTGGTGGGAATTAAATAACTTTTAAAGTTAGTCTCCTTCCACCTGGTGTTTAAGTATTAAGCCTATAATAAATTAATTTTAACTCAAAGAATATATAAAAACTGGGAAATATTAATAGTAATGTTCTACCACCCCCCCAGCCTGAGTTCACAGCAAGTGAACTCAGCTATTATAAAGCATATAATAAGCAAGATTGAAAAACAAGTAATAAAAAGTAATTTTCAAACTTCCTCTGTCCTATTCCAATTGAGTTAAATAAAATACTTCAGACACGACATATACTAGAAATGTATATTCCATACTTCCTCTAATAGTAAGAATAAGTTTTTGCCTTATATATTTATAAATTATCTTTTTCTGAGTGAATAGGACATTTTTTATCTAAATAGTAATTAAGTTGCTAATTGGTTACACGAGAATTTTATGAAATAAATAATAAATACTAAGAACTTACATCCCGTATTTCTTCCAACATTAAAAAAATAAACATCGCATATTTCTCATATTGAGTACTAACTTTCTGAGCCAACCAGTGTGTCTTAGAGATATACTTTGGGAGTCTCTCCTTCCAAAGAATATACGACCATTTATGCACCAGTTAGAAGGTAGACAGATAATTACAGCCAGGGTTTATGAGTGTTAGTATGCCCCAGACCCTATACAAATACTGTAGGTGTATTAGTTCCTTTGACCTTTTCCATTAACCCCGTGAGCTTTGTCCCATTTAACAGTTAAAGAGACAAGCACAGAGAGGGTAACTAAAGTATCCAGTTAGTAAGTGGCAGAGCCAAGATTTGAATCTAGAAGGTTTAATTCCAAAGCCTCTGCTCTTAACCACTAATGAGCAAGACTTTGGAGCTCTTCAGACCATGTACAAGTGATTTCTCTAAGGCCCAGCTTCCTTGTTTGCGATTTTAAACACTGCAATGTATATATGTGTATGTGTACATATATTTTTTTCTTGACAGGTTGTTGTAACAATAAGATAGTATATGCAAAGCAAATGCTCACTAATATGTGTCCATTGTTTTGGTTATGTTATTATTTGTTTATATCACTATTATGGTTATTTTTCTAGTTCCTCATTAGTTTGTGACATTGTGATTCTATTATTAAAAGTGTTTGTAAATTGTAACTTCTTTTTGGCAAATAGGAAGTACAAATAATTATTAAGTTAGTTTTGAAGTAATCTGTTCCATTATTAATTTTGACTCCTGTAAGATCATTTCTTTTAACCCTCCCAGGTGTACGGAGATATTGAGTACTGCAGCATTATTAAGAATAAGGTCACTGGAGAGAGTAAAGGTCTGGGCTACGTTCGGTACTTAAAGCCGTCACAAGCTGCCCAAGCAATAGAGAACTGTGATCGAAGTAAGTGTGCATGTGTTTAACACTGTTAAACACTTAAAAATGTTCTCATCATTTTCAGTAACTGAATCTAATTCTGGTTTTGGCTAACAACCTTACCAGCTAATTTAATCTTAGCATTGGGCATTTAAATATATATAGCCCTCAAATGCAAATTATTTGGGTGGATAATTAAGTTTTCATTGAGGCCCCATCTTGGAAGAATTATGAGCAACTGTAATAACTTAGTGTGGTTGCCATATTTTGGTTATTATTTCTATAGATTTTTAAGTACATGCTTTAGAATATTAGGTATTTAGAAATTGACCTGCCCTTTCAGATTTTTAAAAATTCTTTATACTTCAAAATATCTTAATAAGTTTTCTTTAATATCTGTTTGTATCTGGCCTAAATCCTAAATAGAATTTAGTTTACTAACAAACATATAGGTTAAGGATAGGATTTATAAGGTTTGGTAACATAGGTAAGTAAATATACATTGGATTGATTTCAAAGTAGAGTGACATTAATTAGATATTCTACTGATGCTGGTATAATAATGGAGAATAAGCCAAAGAGAATTTTCCTTATTGTCATACTTCTAGATGTATTGACCTTTAGAAATGAGGTCTACAGTAATTAAATTAGTGGATTTTAGGATATTATGAAAATCTATTTATACCAAGAAGAATTATTGTTAACTAGTGAATTCTCAGATAACCCTAAGGTACACACCAAAATTTTCTCTTAGAGCCTTCTAAATTTCTCAGTAAGTCAACATTAATTACCTTTGGTATACCCATTAATAGGTTAAGGCATACAAAAGAATATAAAGCAGTCTTGCCATTTAAAAATGTATAGCTATATTGTATAGCCAAGATCTAATAAGCAGAAAATAGTTAAAAGAGTAATGCAATTTTTAAAGAGTTCTTTGAAAACAGAGTATGTCTTATTTATATTTGTCACTCCATGTAGCTAATACAGTAATTAAACCCTCAATAAAAATTTACTGGCCCTGGCTGGTGTGGCTCAGTGGCTTGAGTGGCGGCCTGCAAACTGAAAAGTCGCTAGCTCAATTCCCTGTTGGGGCACATGCCTGGGTTGCACACCAGGTCACCAGTTGGGGGTGTGTGGGAGACAACTGATGTTTCTCTCATACACGAGAGTCTCTCTCCCTTTCTCTCTCCCCTCCCCTCTCTCCAAATATAAATAAATAAAACCTTTTAAAAAATTGATTGAGAACTTATTTCAAGATACTGCTATTGATAATAGCCTCAATAAAAATTTGCCAAATGAAAAAAATATTCAAAAGTGTGTGGTATAGCCTATCAGTGGTAAAAAGGAAGCACACTGAATGAGCATGGGAATGCATTAGAGGCAGGAGTTCATCTGGTGTAGAGTAGGCAGGACGGACGGTGAGAGCAGCATTAGCAAAGGCACAGAGCTAGATAGAAATGTGTCTTTGCTTAGTACAGTGAAAGGCAGCTGCCTGAATAAAGCATAATATTTCTGCTGCAATATCACAGGACGGATAACTAGATACACTGGAACCATATACAAGAGGTTATAAAGAGTTCAGGTTTGGTCCACATTTAGATTCCCTTGTATATTGTTATAAAAAGAAAAATGATAAAAACTATTTTAGTACAGGTGAGCTAACCACCATATCAAGGATGGATTTCCAGGAATTAATTCAGATGGGCTACTTTTATCCCCTTTGGAGCCTCAGAATAACACACGAACTTTTTTCCTTGAAACATACCCATATGCACATATATGCATAAATATTTTGTTTAAAGTTCCAGAGGGTTTATGGAATCTTCCACCTTTTGAAACTAATTCTTGGACCCCTGTTTAAAATCCTCACTCCACAGGCAGAGACCAGTTGAAGAGTTCTTGTAAACAAGAGAATCTAAATAAAAAACAGAGGCAAAGAAGTTAAAGCAAAACATAACATATTCTAAGCGTATTTCAAAGAAAGAATTTTGATGGCCTTTTGAATGTGAAGAAGCGTTATTGGATTTTGATGTTGAGGTGCCTGGGAGAACAATGATGTCATCGGTAGTGGGGGGAGATTAGAAAAAATAGCATAGAATTGTTGCTTTTTCAGGTTGACATTGACCTGTAATTTGGGATTCCTACTGTTTCTTATTTGACCTTTTTTTTTTTTAATCTTTCAAAAAGCAGAAAAGTAGGTCTGGTGGAGATGGCCATTGTGTAGATTTTGTTTTATACAGTTATATTTCTAAAGCTAGGTCAAGCACTAGGAATCAGGTATATTTGCAGATATGTCAAATTTTCTATGAAGCTTGAAATTCATGGATTCTCTTTTCAGGTTTTAGGGCAATCTTGGCTGAACCCAAAAATAAAGCATCTGAATCCTCAGAACAAGATTATTATAATAATATGAGGCAGGAGACTTTAGGACATGAACCTAGAGTAAATATGTTTCCATTTGGTAAGTGGGCGACCTTTGCTTTATAGTGTAAGCAGTGTATACAATCTGAATTGAGTTTTTTTTAATACTCATTTATTAGCAGTCTATAAATATCTCTTAGTGAATAAAAGTCATACTGTAGAGTTCTTTTTAAGTTTGTCATGACTTCTTATGTCCTTTATACTTAACACTTATTTTAACTACTTCCACTTATAGTTTTATATGGTTGGTTATGCTTTTTCTAAATATTAATCTATGTCACTGCTACTTTTTTGGGTGAGCTTCTACCTCTACACAGCTGACCAAAACAAATGTGAAAGACACACAAGTAACTCCTCAGTATTGAATCCTAAAGTTCTGTCCGTAAGCTACAGTTGCGTTAAAATTAGAGCGAGAGAAGGAGAGCAATGACAAAAGTAGAAGCTGGAAAAAGGGGGAAATGAGTGATGAAAGTGGGGGCTCTGAATCTTACCTGGCACGGATGTTCTTTTAGATGAAACACCTGCCAGATCTGGCAGTTTTGCATATTAAACATTTTCCTGTGAGGTTAGACTACACATTTCTGCTAATATTTCTGTGCTGGAGCCTGGGCAATAGGGAAGGGTTGTCTGTTTTCTTGTCATTGGTGTCTTTTGAGAGTGCTGGTGATGAAGAGCATTCTACAGAATACCGTGCCTTTGTTCAGTGTGATGGAATCAAAGTTGATTCTGTTTTCTAGTACCGAAAATGTTCAATGAATTCTTGGATGGATAGAAATTTAAAGATTTACTTTTTTCTCTGTTGTTCAAGAGCAACCATCTGAATTTTCGAATTTCGACAAGAATGACAACAGAGGCCAGGAAGCCATCTCCAAACGCCTGTCGGTGGTGTCCAGGGTGCCTTTCACCGAAGAGCAGCTCTTCAGCATTTTCGATATCGTACCCGGGTTGGAGTACTGTGAAGTTCAACGAGATCCGTATTCAAATTATGGTAAAGTCATGTCCGTGTTATTTTTAACTATGCGTTTTGTTAAAATGGCTTTTCTCCAATAACGCTTTATATGTTAGATACTGTTTGTGCACCAAACAGTGCACAAACTGTTTTTTTCTATGTTAAACTTAGAAAAAGTTTATCTTTTTATCTTTTTTATCTATGGTAAACTTTTAAATACAGTGATACCTTAATAAGCCCTTGAGAATATGTCTTCTTTATACTGAGTTATTTATCTTTTTAATATTTTAACTCCCATACAATAGAGCATTTTCTGTTTCCAGTTGTACAACAAAAATACCTCAGAATAAGGTCCTTCTCTCTCTCTCTCTCTCTCCCTCTCCCCCGCTTCCTCCTCTTGGTTGATGGTAGGCAAAGTTATAAAACCCATAAAATTTCATCCTCATCCCTAAGTATCTTTATCTTAAACTTTATACCTTGAAATAAAAACTCCTTTCCTTCATTTCAAGTACCTATTTCTAACTTCTTAATGGAAGCAAGGCTCTAATATTAGCCATTTGAACTTTCAACTAGTTAATTGATCAAACCTATTATCTAGTGTTAGCTTAATCTATCTTTGTATGTGTTAAACCTTTTGCTTTTTAAAGGCTTTTTTTAAAGGGAGGTATTAACCTTAAACTATCATGTTCATATTTTTACCAAAATCTGACTTATGCTTTGCTCTGTAGGTACACAGCTGTTACACACATAAAAGAACTTTTGTTTCCTGACACATTTGATTCCGTATTTACTGTCTGTGTGATATTTGGGCATTTCTACATTGTTTCATTTTTGTGGCAACAAAGGTTTTTCAGTATTCATTCTACTTTAAGTTTAACTCCTGTATATTCTCTACCTTTGTTTTAGGTCATGGTGTGGTTCAGTATTTTAATGTAGCATCAGCTATTTATGCCAAATACAAGTTACATGGATTTCAGTACCCTCCTGGGAACCGGATAGGTGTTTCCTTCATCGATGATGGAAGTAATGCAACAGAGTAAGTACCATTCCAGCAGTGTCTGCGCCAAGCTTTGGGTGTACATGGTTATGACTTGAAGAATAAAAGTAGAAAACAATTGACCTCTCAGATGAAGAGGCCACACAAAACAAGTTACTGTTAAGAGACTGGGTATTTCTGGTTTTCTGTAAATTATCAGTTATTATCTCTAGTCTCCTTAGAAAAATGGCAACGCAGATGGTAGCTGCCCAGCTTGCATCAATGGTGTGGAATAATCCAGGTCAGCAGCAATTTCTGGTAAGTAGGTAAGAATTTAACCTCCATGATACATCCATAGGGTATAAGCTAATATGGCCTTTGTTTATTACCTATGTGAGAAAATTTTCTGAGCTATAGTGAAAGACCACGTAGGTGCCATGAAACACATCTCTTCAGATCTTGGCTAAACATCCCTAAAGTGCAGTTTTTCTTTTTCTCATTTTGCTCCTAACTCTTCGACAGCAATTTGGAGGAAGTTCTGGATCACAGTTGCCTCAAATCCAGACAGATGTTGTGCTTCCACCATGCAAAAAAAAGGCCCCTCCTGAAACTCCTGTGAAAGAAAGACTGTTTATTGTGTTTAATCCTCATCCTTTACCTCTAGATGTTCTAGAGGATATATTCTGGTAAGATTTCAAATCCACAAAGTTACATTTCATAATATAATTGCATTTTATTATACCAGTAATTGAAGCACTCTCACCATCTTGAAACTTCTTAAATCCAATACCTATCAGATAGAGATAATTTGTTCTGTAGTTTTAAAAAAACTATTGATATCACCTTTTAAACTACATGATCATTTCCATCCCCATCATTCATATATCCTAAGTTTCCACACTGAATTAATTTCCTATTATTTTGTTTTGAAGGCATTGAAAACCTGTAGTATTGTTTTGAAAAGTTGCATGCATAGAATGGACAAGTAATTTGTTTCTTGATAGAAGATACCTTTGCATACTACTTGTCTAAAGTCTTTTCACATATCTTTTCCATTGTAGTTGTAATATAGATAGATGAACAGAGGTCACTAAGCATCTTCTGTTTTGTCAGCACTCTGTTAGAGCCTTAAGGATTTTATAATTACTCATCGAGTACACAATTACTTGATTGTGTGGAAGAATATGTAATTGTAAAAAGAGGGAGGTTCCTGTTTATTTCTTTTTTTATTTTTTAAATTATATTTTTTGATTATGCTATTACAGTTGTCCTGATTTTTCCCTTTGCCTCCCTCTGCCAAGCATCCCCTACTCCCTCAGTTGGTCCCCACCCACACTGTTGTTCATGTCCATGGGTCACGCATATAAGTTCTTTGGCTGCTCCATTACCTGTACTGTGCTGTACATCCCCGTGAATATTCTGTAACTACCTATTTGTGCTGCTTAATCCCCTCACCTCTTCACCCATTTCCTCTACACACACCTCCCATCTGGTAACCATCAAAACCTCTCTGTATCCATGATTCTGTCTCTGTTCTTGTTTGCTTAGTTTGTTTTTTAGATTCAGTTGTTGGTGAGTATGTATTTATTGCCATTTTATTGTTCACAGTTTTAACCTTTTTAAAGTAGTTCCTTTAACATTTCATATAATAATGGTTGGGTGATGATGAAGTCCTTTAGATTTTTTTTGGCTGGAAAGTTCTTTATCTGTCCCTTATCTGAAATGATAGCTTTGCTGGGTAGAGCAATCTTTTTTTTTTTTTTTTTAATTTTTTTTAGATTTTATTTATTTATTTATTTATTTATTTATTTATTTATTTATTTATTTATTATTAGAGAGAGGGGAAGGGAAGGAGAAATACAGGGAGAGAAATATCAAGGTGTGGGTTGCCTCTCATGTGGCCCCCACTGGGGACCTGGCCCACAACCCAGGCATGTGCCCTGACTGGGAATCAAACTGACCCCTTGGTTCCCAGGCCTGTGCTCAGTCCACTGAGCTATACCAGCCAGGGTGTGGGTAGAGCGATCTTGGCTGTAGGTCCTTGCTTTTCATGACTTTGAATATTTCTCACCAATCCCTTCTAGCCTACAGTTTCTTTTGAGAAATCAGCTGACAGTCTTATGGGAACTCCCCTGTAGGGAACTAACTGCTTTTCTCTTGCTGCTTTTAAGATTCTCTCTTTATCTTTAACCCTTGGCATTTTAATTATGACGTGTCTTGATGTGGATCTCTTTATATCATCTTGTTTTGGACTCTCTGTGCTTTCTAGATGCATGTCTATTTCCTTTACCAAATTAGGGCAGTTTTCTTCAATTATTTTCCTATAGGTTTCCTATTTTTCTAGTAAGTTTCCTATTTCTCTTCTCCTTCCAGTACACCAATGATTTGAATGTTGGTACATTAGAAGTTGTCCCAGAAGCTGCTTAGACTGCTCATTTTTCTAGATTCTTTTTTCCTCTTGTTGCTCTGATTGGTTGTTTTTTCTTTCTTTATGTTCCAAATCATTGATTTGATTCTCAGCTTCATCTACTCTACTGTTATTTCCCTGTAAATTGTTCTCTATTTTAATTAGTGTATACTTTGTTTCTGGCTGGATCTTTTTTTATGCTGCTGAGGTCCTCACTAAATTTCTTGAGCATCCTTATAACCAGTGTTTTGAACCCTGCATCTGATAGTTTGCTTATCTCCATTTTGTTTAGTGCTTTTTCTGGAGCTTTGTTCTGTTCTTTCATTTGGGCCATGTTTCTTCATCTCCACATTTTGGCAGCCTCACTGCGTCTATTTCTATGTATTAGATAGAGTTGCTATGACCCTCTGTCTTGGTAGCATTACCTAAAGTAGTAGGTGTCCAGTGTGGTCCAGTGCACAGCCTCTCCTAAGCCAGAATCTTGAGATGCACCCTTCATGTAGGCTGAGTACACCATCCTCTTATAGTTAAACCTGATTTGCTGTTGGCAGGTCAATGGGAGGGGTTTACCCAGGCCAGTCAGCTGTAAGGACTAGCTGTGACTACTTACCACCAACCTCCATCCTCCATGGAAGATCAGGGGTGCAGGGACAGGGTGATGGTGCTCCAATTTAGTCTGTAGCTGTCCACTGGGAGTGCTGGCCCTGAGCTTCCCAGGTGGTACAGGCCAAGGTGAACCCCCACCTCTGTTCTGCCCCAGAGCCACCCCACATTAGCTGTAAAGCAATCTGAAATGTCTCCTACTTGTGCTGGGCTTAGAGATTCCCGGGGGAAGCCACTCTGTGAATCTAGGCTGGCTGCTGCTAGTGCCAGGCCTGGGGCCACTTAGCAAGAGGTATAGTAGCTACAGGCTCACTGAGGCCGGCTGTTGCTTGTTTGGTAGACTTTAGGAAGTTGTGAGGCATGAGCCAAGACCAGCCATTCGTATAGAAAAGCCCCTGTTAATTGTTTGGGTCGGCCCGCAAGTTGGGTGGAACAGAATCACTTCAGGATGTCTCTATAGTAGGGAAAACAGTGTTAGCCAAATTGATGGAATCTCAGATATGGCACCCACCTGCCTGCTCTGTGGCTCTGTGGGAGGAGAGCTAGAAGAGGGACAGTGGCCTCCGCTTGCCTTGCTGTCTGGGAGAAAGCTGTCCTCCAGCTCCCACCTTGACGCCAGTCACTTCAGTTCCTCCCTGGGTGCTGCTGGTGCCTTTCAAGCTGCAGCCCCTATGCTGGAGCTCAGAGGACGGAGGGTCTGGTTTTTTAAAATTCTGTAGTTGTCAGAGTTCCACTGGACTTGATTTCTGACTTTTCTGAGTGATGGTTCCATATCTCCATTGTAATTTTGACGTGGTTGTTCAGGATGCGAGCTGTGCTTACCTATGTTGCCATCTTGACCTTAAGTCCTGTTTGGTTTTATTGTAACTCCTTCCATAACTTTTTCTCTTTCCCATTTGCCTTTCAACATTGTTGGTGAATTGAAAAGATAGGCAGGATTCTTATTAAAGAGCTGCATAAGCTCCGGCTGGTGTGGCTTAGTGGGTTGGGCATTATCTCACAAACTGAAAGGTTGCTGGTTCAAGGCCCAGGCAGGGAACGTGCCTGGGTAGCCCAGTTGGGTGTGTGCAAGGAGCTACTGATTGATGTTTCTCTCTCTCTCACTTTCTTCCCCTCTCTCTAAAAATAAAGAAATAAAAAAAGAAAGAAAATTAAAGAGCTACTCAAAATATCAGGTATGTGGTTGAAGTATTTTGACTTTCATTTAACTGATTGATTTAGCTTGTTTCTTGAACCTGTCCTCTGTTCAAGGTAGACATTGTGCTAAATGCTAGAGACATCATATAAACAAAATATTCTAGATAAACAAGACACAATAGTTGTTGTCTTCTTAGAGATAACCTTATTTAGGAGACAAATAAATATGAAGTTCCAGCCTTAAGAGATTAGTGCCATGAAAGGAATGGACAGGCTATAAAGTATGTAAGAGGGGCAGCTACCTTGGAAGACTCCTTGAAAGAAGCAAGGTATCACGGAGACCTGTAGGATAAAAACATTTTAATCTGGGAAGAAAGTTGAGGGTATTGGCAGTTATTACTGCCAGAGAGAATGTGAAAGGAGGTTCTAAGAATATGGAATTTGAGACTGTGGGGGAAGATAAAGCTGGAGAGAATAGGGCTCCCGTCCTGAAAGGCTTGCAGGGTTTCTGAGAGAGTTTGTCTTATCCTGGAGGCAATGAGGAGCTACTGAAGGGATTAGGAAGATTACTCAAGTCAGGGTGAGGAATGGATTGAAGAGGGACATGCCCAAGGGTCAGGAAGCTAGTGAAGAAGATATACTCTAAGGAAAAGATAATGAAGGAGAGATAATGTCTTCAAGAGGAAAGAAACCTGAGAGAGAGAATGAGGAGAAACTGACTGAGAGGGAGCCGTTTAAGGAGCTTGCACGGGAGGTGGGAGATGGGGAGAGGGTGAAAAAGGAGTTCCCAATGGACCCCGCCTTTCAGACCCGAGCAGCAATATTTGTTAACATCAGTTGCTTTTCTTTTTTTTTTTGTTTTACTTTGTTTCAGTCGTTTTGGTAACCTGATTGAAGTTTACCTTGTGTCAGGAAAAAATGTGGGGTATGCCAAGTATGCAGATAGAATAAGTGCTAATGATGCAATTAATACTTTACATGGAAAGATCCTCAATGGAGTCAGACTTAAAGTTATGCTGGCAGATTCCCCAAGAGAGGAATCTAACAAACGACAGAGAACTTACTGATTTTTGAGGTAAGTCCTTTTTAATTGGAATTATAAAACACATTGACTAAATAGTATAGCAAGAGGAAGATGTATAATAGGTACTTTAATTAGGAGTTACTTTTTTTCTAGTGATTCAGAAGTGGTCAGTTAAAAGCACTGTGACTTACAACTTCATTGATAAAACCACAGTTCAGGTTAATTTTACAAAATATTTTTTAAACTTAAACTTTTAAAACTTAAAATGGTTTCAGTGTTTACTAGAAGAAGGTTTTTGCCCTTCTGTAAAATAAAATCAGATCTCAAATTGGAAAATTAATTACTTTTTGGTTTGTGGATATCTTAGATAAAAGAATTGGACTTTTTACTAATACTTTAACAAACTTAAAGTTGAAATACTTTAAAAAAATGTTTAACTTGAAGACTTAATGCCTTGAGTTATGAGTTGAGGTAATTTATAACAGTATTATAAAGAATGTTTTGACTTCTCACTCATAAAGTGCCTTAGACTCAACATCAAATAATAGATCTTTGAATTTAAAAGTTGGTGCTTTTCTGGACTTATATATGTGAGTTGTGCTTTAAAACTACACATTCAGAAAATATTCTCATGTGCATATATGTATTAAAAAAACTAATTCTGACAATTTACCAACAACCCTTGTTTATTATAAATACTGATATATGCAGCCATATAAATTCCTTTTCTTTTATTAGTTTTTAAAAATCAAACTTAAGACTCTTTTTCTATGACAGTTCATATCTTTATAGTTTGGGGAAACATTCTTACAAATTTAGAAATGTTTGATTCTTTCACATTTTTGTTCTGTAAATAAATTCTGAGTTTCAGGGGAAGCTGAGTGTTTCCATGTTCCCACAGAGACCAGCTTCCCGAGTCTACTGCTGGCAGCTGGCAGCTGGCAAGCACTTTAGGCTCAGTTCGAAGTCACTGGCTTGCTTGCAGTCTTCTTTTCACTTCAGGCTTTCTTCCTGACCAGTTATGAGAACTAGCATGTATCAGAATGAATTGTCTCAAGCCTTACTGCTGGTAACCCTTCCTAGTTAGGTCTTCCTAAAGGCAGCTGACAGTAGAAAGTGTCCATCGGGCCCGCTGTTAGTAATCCTCACTGAGAAATGTTTTCAAATTTTTTTAAGTTACAAAACCACTCCCTTTGTTTCATAAAATGTAGAAATGTTAAATTGCCAGTAAAAAAAGAATCAGCAAGTCTTTCTTATAACAAAGTGGTTTTTTGTGTTTACAAATAAAATGTCAAGAACTGAATTTGTTTAGACAAGCTGTCTTCTAAAATAGCACGAAAAATATGTTTATTCATGTCCGAATATTTTAACATATAGGTAACAATCCTTTTAGTCAGAATATGATCATCAGAAACTTCTGAGTATCAAAAAATATATAAATTAATCTTGTGGTTAAGCCTTTCCCAATGATTATTTATATAGCATGGAGAATATTGGACAAAATCAGGAGGTCTGGGTTCAGATTCCACTCTGACACCTCACTGACTGTGATCGGGCCTTTCCTGAGGCTGACTTTTTTTATGGAGTTATTGAGAGAAAATGAGTCAGCAAAATTCCTTGTAAAATGTTTAAAAATTCTTTCTCAAGTGTGAGCTGAACCATTGCATTGGTGGCTGAAGTGAAACCGTTGAGATGTCATCTCTAAATGATCAAAAACTAAAAGTTTAGTGATGCAAAACTACCCTGTGGTCGGCTGGTGCTCTGAGAACAAAACTGTGTAGTCCTGCGCCTTCCCCTGTTACAGTGGCCTGTATCCACCCAGTCCCTGCACTAGAGGAAGTGTGTGTTTTTCGGGATGACTAGGCACAAAGTATACCTCTGTCTCTGTTTTCCTCAGTGAGCTATTTATCTGTACACATCCAGGACAAAGAAGAGGAGGGTTAGATTAGTGAAATTCAGGAGGGCACCAACACTGCTCAGGAAGGCTAGTTCCTTCTGTCTGGGCCCACTAAGCCAAGGTTGAAGTGAGCCATGCCCAGGAAGTAGGAGAAGCAGCTGGTCTAAGAATATGACTTTTAAAGTAGTTGAATGCTATTTTGAAATGAGGCTGATGTACAAAATATGTTATTTCTATTTGAGGAAAATAAAAAGTTTAGTATGTGAGAGCATTCTGATTCCATATTAATTTACAGCACTCCCCCCTACCCCCCCCCCGAAATTCAGTGTGTGCTTGTATCATCCTTCCAGGTGAGTTTGGTTTTGCTTACTTGGGGGTATCTGCAACTAAGTAAGCAGATAACATTGGTTATATTGAAATAAGGAACAATTCCTAACATTTTAGGGATACTATATACAATAGCTATTTCCGTTCAGGTGATGATTTTCATACTTGTGTTGTGCTCTTTCTACAGAACAAAGACTAAATAATGACATAATCCTCAGCTGACTGACTGAAAATGTGACTGGACGCACTCCCTGTGGACAGTTGACAGCTTTTTTTTTTCATATATCTGATAGTCTGTGCACAACATTGTTTGTCTGGGGAGCAGGGATTGTTGACATGTATTTTTAATCCACACATTGATGCTAAAACTAATATAGTAGTTGTTTCTTAGAGCAATATGTTGTTATGTGTAGCAGAAATAAAGTTTTCTTTGCTTAACTAAATCATGCCTTATTTATGTGAAAGGTGAGAGTGAAAAATTTAACAGATAGTGTTTAGAATCTGACTAAGTGACATATTTCATTGATTCTGAGATGCACATCTTTCCACTGCTGAAATTGGAAACGTCTTGATTATCGATGGTGTACCAAGTGTAATTGACAGCCTTTTTCTCCTTCGTAGTGGAACATAAAGATGCTTCTTTCAGTCAGCTGCTTCTTAGATTCAATAAAATATGGTAATTGTTACTCAGTCTACACATGAAGATTGGCTACTTACACTTACTGTAAGGCAAGAGTCAAGCACATAATTAGAAATATTTTTATACCATATTTTTATAGTTAAACCAAAATTTTTTGGTAATTTTATAAAGATGTTTTAAGATTATAGAGCAACAGTGATAAAGAAAAAATTAAACTGTTGATGATGTGGGTTTTTTCAATGGTAAACTGAACTGTTACTGGCTTTCGAAAGAGGATACTTTCCCTTTATAAATACAGAAATGTAATATCCACTTAAAAACATGACATGTAAGCAATTTTTGGAACAGACTATGATAGGAAGAATAGTCATTTCAGAAAATAAAAATTAGGAACCTCCTCTGCTTATATTTTGAAAATGCAAGAAAAAATTTTTTAGCAGTTCCTACAGTGAATTCTGTGTATCAAAGAAGTTATATCTAACTCATGAACTCAGCCCCTTTAAAGTCATTATAAATGGTATGCAGTTTTTAAATCATCACTTAATTATCTCTTCGTTATGCTTCTAACATCCTCAATTAAACTAAAACTAGTGAGATTAAATTCACTGAACATAATAGTGTTTCATACTTGGGCTTCTCTCTATTGAAAAATTTAAATTCTCCTTTTGAATGAGTAATTTTAGTAAATTTAGATAAGAAAAATTTGCCTTATCTTCCCAGGCAAGACTTACTGTATAAAAATTGAACCAAATATCTTTCTGTGAGCCAAAGGGCATATTTTTTAAAAGAAAGCAAATGCTCTCTTTATAAACGAAAAACCTAAGTGAGAAGAGTTGAGGATTAATTACTGGCAGATAGGTTTATTCACCTGAAACTCATTCGCTACATATACAGTTCCATTCTGACACATTGGGATTAAATTGTGTTACAGGGTATCTGTCTCTACCAGTCAAGTAATGCTTGAATTTCCACTGCCCCCTCCCCAGATATTCCTATCCGGTGGTTCATCTAAATGGTATAAAAGTAGGGAGCTCCCTACCTCCTGCCTGAGACCCTTGCATCTTTGATTAACCCTTAAAACTGACATAAAATATGATTTCCTCTCATTTTCACCTCTTAGTCTTTTTTTACTGAGCCATGTAGAGAAGTTGAATCTTTCTCTTGATAGCTATCATATTCCCTTCTGCCCTTGAAATTTTCTGTTCATCTTAAATAATCCCAGTTTCTCCATCCTGCATTTAAGATCAGGTAGCCAGTTCCAGCAAACAGTTTGTCTCCATCAGATGCCTCACCTAGGTTTATTTCCTTAAGTCTTTCATATAAACTCTTAAAAGAGTTGTATGTCATCAGCTAAATGTTTTCTTCTCAAATGAATTTGGATGTAAGAACATGATACATAAATATTTAGATACTCTGTGTATGTCAGTTAACTAAAATGCTAACAGGGGTTGTATGTAAAATGCTAGCATAGCAGTTTTTATGAAGTATGTCTTCAATTTAGAAAGAAAGCTAAACAAGACAAGTTAATTTCTCTTTTACATAGGTGGTTCAAATAATAACATTTTAAATAAATCCTGTTCAAAACTCTCCTATAAGTTCATTAAGTTGGATCTTTTACAGTAGTTTACAGATGCCGAAAGCAGCCATCAAATTTGCTGCTCCTAGTACATCCCAAACTGTGTTCTTTGAAATAAATACTAGTGACATGAGAGAAATCAATAAGTCTTCTTTAGGAAAGAAATTTTCATAGTCAAGTATATTTAGAAAATGTTGTTATTTTTAGCTCCACAAGTTTTTGACCATGAAACTTCTTAGAGCCTTTCATGCGCTATTGAACACCATCACTGTTATCTCCAAAAAAACTATCTGCACTTTCATAGTTTGCTTTATGCACTGTGAACTGTATTTTCAGAGGTACACTATTAATAAGGCACTGATATTCAAAAAGATATATTTTAAGAAAAATTCTTTTAAA